TAACCAATATAATGAAGATATTTCATATTTTCTGTTCATATCGTACACGGGACCTTTTTCAATTTTTGTTCACATTGGCATAAACGAGAATCAAAAGAAACGGGGTGATTTGTACAGTTGGTGAAAAACTGGACGAAGGCTGCAGCTGTATTTTTACACTTTTATTAACTATGAATTTTCATTATTACTGCATTTTTGCATATTTTTACGACCCTGTGTCGAGATAAGATATTAGCTTTTATAACATATTTATGTCATTAACGTAGAGAAAGAAATCCGTACCAACCGACTTCATGTATTTAAAGAGGACAGAAAATAAGACAAGAGAGACACTTTTAATGTGGATAGTGCGTGTCTTGCTCAAGGAAAGGAGACATTGAAAACGATTGGCTTGACATGCACAAGTTTTCACCTAGAAACTAATAAAAGCTGAAATGGAATACAACAATTCTCACGATAGATTTCTTTTGACAGAAACGGTTATAAACGTTATGGATTCGACTGACTGGGTAATTTTGTTCAATTCTCTCTGGGACTATATTTAGTCGTCCCCCCACGAGGGCGTCATGTGGCACAAGGCCTTTAACGTGGGTATTTGAGCCATTAGGCTCGGCCAAAAATAACCCATTTGAACCCGTATAAACGGGTTCAGGGTCGAGTTTACCTCCCCCTGAAGGAGACTACGCCTCGGGCGGAGTCTCCTTCGGGTTCCTCTCCGTCCGTAGACAGAGAGTTAAACCGAACCGTTCGCTCAGTTCTCTCTGGGACGAGGTGGAGAAAGACAATAGGCGTGGTAGATTTACGCTCTCTTCTACTCACACGCAGGTGTCAAATGAATTCAAAGAATTTGAATGGCATTATTTTTTACGTCTTATCAACCTTTTATTTGGTAATTTAAAATATTTTTTATGTTATTATTATATATATATTTTATATTATTCTTATATATATTTTAGATTAATGATTGTTACTGATAAAAGTTCCACTAATTAACCCATAGATAGACGAGAGATATATTCATACTTTTCCCAAGGGTCAGTCAGTTATGTGCCATGCGTGATACACGCTTAGGCTGTCAAGTATCTTTCAGTACATGACTGAGGAGGCAGATTTTTTCCCCGTAGTAGGTTGCCATTTCTTTCTGCGGTAGACCAGTTGCCATCCAGTTGCCAGACTATAGAACCCGATCTGTCCTGCTATTTACCCATATCTGGGGGGAGAAGAAGAGGATTTATACCTTTCCCAAAGTATTAGCACGTAAGTGAATGTAATGGATTCATCTGGAATTCGAACTTGGCTCTCCGATTCGTCAATCCGAGCCGCTATCCATTAGTGAGTTTTTTCGTGATATCGGCTGGATTAATCATCTTAATCACCGGCATTAAAAATACTGAATATGCATGTAAATATAAATATTTAACATAAATTGTAAACATATAAATTAATTGTGAATTTTTTCCTTTGAATATTTTTCCATGGCAATATTGTGACTTTTTAGGGGACTTTATTCTGTGGCTTTTTTCTTGTGACTTTATTACCGGTCACGGGAAAAAAACAGAGGGAACCATAACCTTTTTATGCTCAACCGGTCTGTACTAGTTTTAGCTCGTTTATTTATTTATTTTACAAGTCTATTTTGGGTACTACGATCCCTGAGTGAAATGAAAATTCAAGAACATGAGATAAACGTATTTGCAATTTATAATAGAAGCAAGCTAATTGTTTAAAAATAAAAATGCCAGTTATTGAACGAGAGATTTTAAAGAATATTCGCAATGAATTTCTGATTTTCGCTAAAGCTTTACATTCTTTGCTCACTCAAAACACAAACGGAAGAAACTCTCCATTCTGATATGTTGCATATTCTATAAAAGAAACTGCTTTCGTGCAGTGTTTTTATTTAGGAAAAGATAACATTTCCCATCCGAGCACTGTGTACCCACGAGAAAACAACTCGTGGCTGAAATTTGTCTGACAACGTTTGATAGGTGGCGTTGTATAAAGCAATGTAAAGAGAAAAGGCCACATCCCCTTTCTCTCTTTTTCAGCTCTTCAAGCACAGGATTCTGTAGGGATAATACGTGTTGTTTCCCATCTGAGTAACTTCTTAGTCCCCAGCGAACTACATGTCGCATTGCACACAAAGTATCAAAACATTATGCCCTGTGCGATAAAATAGTCACATGCGACCAAAATATTATCTACACAACAACCTATCATTCATATATATATATATATATATATATATATATGAAATAAATCCTAAAGAGCCAGAAAAAAATCTACCTAGGTTTTGCCTAAACGGATCTACAGGGTAAGGGTGAAACCTAGGTTGTTTCTGGCTCTTTGGGATTTATTTCATTGAGCACTCTACGTTTTTTCTACGGATTTTTTCTTTGGACTAAAAACTTAAGGCACTGGACGATTTGTTTCGCCTTGTTCTTATGTTTCTAGTTCGTTCTTTTTTTTCCAAATTTTTTTCCTTGGGTGCCAATTTGTTCAAGGTTTTTTAAACTGAGTATTACTAGTAGTATAATATATATATATATATATATATATATATATATATATATATATATATATATATATATATATATGTGTGTGTGTGTGTGTGTGTGTGTAATAAGACAAAATAAATCCTCTTCAACAAACTGGTGACCATCGTTACGAACTGGTGACCTAAAGACATTACACATTTCTCTTCCGAGTGCCAGAGGTGGCTGTTGGAGGTCAGATCAAAGCTAAGAATTTGATTTGATGACTTAGAAGGCTCTCAGTAAGAAGGGACAGTAAGAAATTTCTTGAATATTTGATAAAAGGGGTGGTTGGAATAAGGATGTCGCTGCTGGATTTTTCAACATAAAGAATGGTCTCGGACTATTTGAAACACACAAATATCAGACCATTGCAAAATTTCGTGTCCGATTTTCAGTGTTAATATAAAATGACCACATCTAGACATTGGGATTTGTTTAGGTGTCAATTTGTGGTATGTTCTAGAAACCTTTCATCGTTCAGTTGCGAGTCAGACTTTGTTGAATGTTCACGTTTTAACCACAAAAAAATAGGGTAGGTTGATTTTTCTCTGTTTTAAGAAAATCAATATTGCATTCTATGTACAAAGAGTTTGATATGATAAGTACTGAAACGAAACATTAGATCCATAGCTTTTACCAATTTTTGAGTAGTTAGTTTTAAAGATCGCCTGAAAAAAATGTACCTAAATACAAACTGACTTCAAAATTTTACCATTTCAAGAATAAATCCAAATAAAGTTAATATCTTTTGTGTTAAATTCATTGAATGAAAAATATATTAAAACCAGAATTCAAATTATGTGTCACCACAAACAAAATATGCTATTTTTTCTGTATTCGATAAATAAAAAATGTAAAAGATTACAAAAAAGCTACTCAATAAATAAGATTTCTTAGATCATTTGTCAGATCGTAATAAAAACAAAAAATAGATAAATGGTTATATAACACCATAATACAGTTGGGCACAATTTATAAGACAAAATGTTTTAAATTTGCATTGTTTATTGAAAACGACACTAAAACTACAGCACTGTATAACATATTACATCATAATATAGTTAAATTGTTCTGTCTAATTCCCCTTTGAAGTAAATGAAGGTCTTATTTAATAGCATAATGTTATAGTAATAATGTGCTTGTGTCATGTATCTTGTCCATATACAATTTGTAAAGTTTCAGTAAATTATAAATTTAATAGCATGTGCTATAACGTTTCTTAAAATTAAATTCTGATGCCACGATTTTGAACCTAAACTTAATCTTTAAGTTCATTTCCTCAACGATTTGGAAAAAAACATTTTGTAACGTTATTTATGATATGAAATTCCAACTTTCAAATTCAGTGCAACATCACGGTTCCAAAATCAATCTGCCCCAATAAATGAATGCATTAAAGATGGGTGATAAAAAGTTGAACTTTCGCCATATTATGCTCTAAGAATTTCGGACAGACCTAAGTGTCGGAACTTTCATAGGTTTTATTTGGATCATGCTCCAACTCATCGGACGGCCAAAAAGTTGTTTGGCAGATTTTGCCAGGGTAATTTTGACCTAAACGATCATCCACGCTCCGGGCGACCTTCCGACGTCGATGAAGACACTCTGCTTGCCATCGTGGAAAATAAACCGAAGATTTCAACGGAACATTTATACTCAAAATCAGGAAAAGACAGCTAAAATTCCTTGAGCACATAATGGGGAAAGGGGGTTGGAAAAACTTGACCCCGCCACGAAGCATAATGAAAGCAGCGGGAGGCTTAGCAAAGGTAGAAAAACTGCTAGGAGCTACACGAAATAGGAAATTATGGAGAACCATAATCACCTATGCCCTGAAGGGATACGACACATAAAAGAAGGGTTAGATAAAGGAAATGTCTTCTTTATGACCTAAAGGATTCATTCGTTTGAAGCCATTTTAATCTTTACAACTACCTCAATAGTCCGAATAATGTAAATAGTGTACCATGAATATATCTAGAGAAAAGACACAGAAAAGCTACATGACGTCTGTGAGAAAATTACTGAAGCCGAGATACCATGTCAGGACAAATAACATTGCAGGTTCTTCTTTCTATTTTATCAAGCATTTCTAAATGTATAGCAGAAGCACCAGATCAGATGTGAGAACAATATTCAATGCATGAACGAATAGTCGACTTGCAAAAGTTTAAGATAGATTCTGGCGAGAAAAACTGTCTAGCGCGATTTAGTGAACCAGGTTTCCAAACTGCATGCCTAATAATTGTTTCGTTATAAGCAATTCCAATAAAAGGCACCGGAAATAGGAAGATAGAAACATAATAATATAATAGATTTCTAGTGTATTCTGCACTGCACTATTGAGGAGCGTCTAATGTTAATTACAGCATCTTGTTTTGATAATAAATACTTTTTGTTGTTTTTAACTATTACTGGTTTCTAATGCTTGTTAATATCAACTGTAATTTCACGTTGAAAGCTTCAGTAAATGGCACCGGTTCCCCTAAGATTACCGAAGTTAAGCAACGTCGGGCCTGGTAAGTACTTATATGGAAGACCGCTTGGGAATATCAGGTGTTGTAAGCTTGGATGTTCTGGTGGCGTAATGGCTCAGAATTGGAAATTTGTGAATTGAGTTCCAATTCCAATCGGGTTCGATATATATTCACTTAGAACTAATACCATTGGGAAAGGTATGAATCCAACCCCTACAAGCTATAGTTAAACTTAACATCAGGAAGAGATAGTTGAAATTTCTAGGGCACATAAAGAGGAAAAGGTGCTTGGAAAATCTGGTACTCACAGGACAGATTGCAGTCAAAGAGGATAACAACACGTAACCTATCTAACGAAATTGAGTAAATGGCACTGGTTTCCGTACCATCACCGAAGTTAAGCAACGTCGAGCCTGGTCAGTACCGAGATGGTGACCGCTTGAGAATACTAGGTGCTGTGAGCTTGAATGTTATAATGGTTCGAAATTGTTAATCGGAGAGCCGAGTTCGAATTCCACGTGTATTCGTTATATTCATTTTTACGCAAATATCCTTGGGAAACGTATAAATCCACCTCTTCTTCCTCCTGCTATGGGTTAATTTGTAAGACTTGTGTCACTAAATCATTATTATCTCCCCCAAAATAATTCTTACGATCTAAAAGAATACGTTCTGTCTTTAAATAACCTACAAAGGGTTGATGAGGCTTAAAAAACTAACTGATCAAAATAAACAAAAAATCACGCCTTCTTGAACAGAACACTTCTTTTTTTAACACCCGAATATAATCATTAAGATGAAGACGATAAAATTCGGTTCACTTTTTATTAGAAATATTTTATTATTATATGACTACTATGAAAGAATTTGAAGAATAAACAGCAAGAATTTGCTTTAAAAATATAAATCATAATAATACATAGAAGATTTTAATTAATCATATATTCTGACATCACATTTTATATAAAGCCGGTTGTTGCAATGACTGAAATGGAAACTAAGTCATTCTAACGTTGGTGTCTTGACGCTTTCTCTTCAATTGAATAACGAGATGTTGATAGATGTCTCTTCACAATAAACTCTATTAAGCGCAGTATCATATTCTGAAACTTTACTTTTTCTAAAGTAATCTTTGCTTATAGAGACACTCAGTATAGATTTCTGAAACAAATATTTACTGTGCTCACAAAAGTTCGATCAATATTTTAAACTTTAATGCCGTTCTTCGAAGCGCTATTTCAAATCGACCGGAAACTTCTGAAATTTATATTGAAGAAAAAAAAAAGTCATAAAAGTACAAGGGGAGAGTACTCTTACAAAATACACTCTAAATGCATGCAAATGTATGTGTGAAGCAATGAAAACAAAATTGTGTTCTTTACTTTTTAGGTTTTTTTTTTCTCTCGTATCATTTCTTCCTGTTTCAAGTATCTCTTTCTTTATGTGACCATTCAAGACTTTCGTCTCCTGCCTTTAGAAATCATTCCCGGTATGGACTTTAATCGAAATCTCTTCGCTTAGTCTGTCTTTTTATATTCCCAAACTATTACATCTATAAATATTTATCTTCGCCTCATTCTTAAAAAATATTTATTATTTATTTTAGTAATATTTTTCACTGAGAATTATTTTTAATATGAAAGCCTGTTTTTTTTTTCAATCGTTAATAACTGTATTCAGTTAAAGACACTTGATTAAATAACAGAATGATGTATCTGTAAACACAATGCATCGGCGCCAACATGTGTGTATGAATTTCTGGGTATTATAAACCTAATGTCTTCAGCTATCATTCTTTACCAGTGCTCATATTGCAATTTTTGCTCTTATCATATATGATTTTACCAGAGTTCATAGTGCAATTTTTGTTATTAGCGCTTTTCTCTGGTACTCCTTATTACTGGTTCCCATATTGTATTCATTTCTATGCTTGGTCGGCTCAGGAGATTTTTGTGGCCTAGCATATGTGCTGATTCCTTAAGTTTACCAATTTTCCGATGTTGTTCTTTGTCTATGATCTCAACCTGATCCCACAGAGGGCGGTGATCTCCCTTCTCTCTCCCTATGTGGTCAGCCACACCTGATTTTTCCACTTCCCCTCGTGTTACAGCTTTTAGGTGTTCTTGAAGCCTTAGCTTAAGGGGGCGGCCTGTCTCCCCTTTATATTTCTTTCTGCAGCTGTACACACAGTCTTTAGTCATGTTCTTCTTCTACGTGGGAGAGTTATCTGCGAAATGTAGTCCGGCTTTTGAAAGTTGTCCAGATGTTATATGGACTGCAGACCCTTTGTATTTTCTCTGATAACCCCTTCCCATAAGGCAGGCAGACTGTTTTCTGAGTGTTGTTGTCCTCTTCTTGTACCCGTCTATCCCAGATTTTGGGGGCTGCTGCCATGTACCCAGATTAGTTGTCACGTTGTAGGGAATTATGAGACTACTGATAACTGACATCCATTAAACATGGTACGTGGAACTAGAACAGTTCACCCCAGTGAGCGAAATAAAGGGTTCAGTTCGACATTCCAACCACCTGAAGAAGGCTGGGGCGTACAACGACCGAAACGTTGTAATAAATATGGTGACAAAGATGAGGACAATAGTCCGAATAATGTAAATAATGTACATAATACCTCATCTCAGAAATATCGACAGATACAAAAGAACAGGAATTAGGAAAATAGATGGTAGCTATCGGCATTGCATTTAAGTTTTTCTATATCTAACTTGACTGGAAAGCCGGAAGTGTTCCACAAGTGAGAAGTGCGATAAAAGAAACTGACTGCATAGAATTTTCGGTTACATCTCGCCATTTCAACTGTAAAATCTTGATGCCAATCTAGTACTGCACCGAAATTCATAGAGTCTTCGTAACATAGAAGAAAGTTCTTGAGAACAATTACCACACAAAAAGGCACATGGGAGCTACATTACGGTAGCGGAAACGAAGATAACATAACTAAACTTGATAGAATTAAGCACATAATCTTCTTTTTATGTGCCATGTTCTTTCAGGACCTAGGCGATCATGGCTCTCCACCTGCCTCTATCCCTTGCAGCTCTCAACAAGTTCCTTCCCTCTCTTTCCTCCCTCAGACCACATTCTGTCAACCACTTGCTGAAGACCGCCAGGTATGTCATGTGTTGTTTTTTCTTGTCTCTCTTTCCCTCTATTCGACTCGTGAGTATCAAATTCTCCAGGCCCTCCTTCCTCATTATGTGTCCCAGAAACTTCAGCTGCCTTTACCTGATGTTAAGTATAAGCCTCCTCCTTGTTTCCATCCTCTCTAAAACCTCACCGTTGCTTACACGCTTGGTCCATGATATCTTTAACATCATTCTGTAGAACCACATCTCTTCTTCATCTTTGCTGCCGTAAAGAAGAACAGATGTCACGTAAAAGCTCAGTATTCTTTTCTTTGTACCAAAGAGATCCTCCTGTCTCGCAATACTCTTCCCAGCTTTTGGAATGTGTCCTTGGCCATCCCAATACGTCTAGGGGTCTAAATGTCGCATTTACCGTCCTCTGTCAGAACGCTTTCTAGATATCTAAACCTCCTCGTCTGCTTGATTCCCGACCTGCAAATCGTATTTCGGGTTCATCCTTGTACTGATGACCATGCAATCTGTTTTCTTATAGTTTATGCTTAGTCTTTTCTTCTCACTCTCCGTCGCTACCTTCTGTACGAGATTTTGTAATTTCTATTCCGTGTCTGCTATCAGTACTGTGTCATCTGCGTATCTTATGTTGTTAAGATTGTGAACGCCAATGCTAAATCCCGGTAGGGTTTCCAATTCTCTTAGAATTGCCTCGCTGTATAGATTGAACAGGTCGGTTGAGAAGACGCATCTTACACCCCTTTTTATTTTTGTATAGGCACATAATACTACCTACCAATTCGATAGTGACTACAACTGAAAATAATTTATCTAAACTTAATATATAATTTCGTACATCTACTTAAAAATCATTGACTTCGTAGATGGAAGCTATTTGCTACTAACGCTGTTGTTAGTAACTATATTAAAAGAACTAAGGATGTGTTCACTTCCTGTCGCCCATTGGACCATACCAAATATTGAATAGGATAATGTTAACATAATTGACAACATGAGTATGTGCAGGATACCTTTTCATACCATAGTCGAGATGAAAGTATTATATGGCCGATATCTCTTTACGAATTTTATCGACTGCTGTATATCGCTTCTTTCTCGGACATTCAAAGACACTCATATGCAGCGAATATATTCCTATTTAAGTCTTAAATAATTTATATGCACAATTGCATATTGATTGCTGGGTGAAACCGAAAAATTATGTTGCGGTAATTTTTTTATTGTGGAGAGTTGTTTGTCATCAAAGAACAGTGTTCTAGGTTCGGCTTTTACTTCAACTCCAAAGCGTCTTCTGACATTTGAGTCGCTATCGTTTGCGAAAACAAAGCAATCTTAGCGACATATAGGGCTATATTATCAGGCTATATATCAGGTTGTTGAAAAGTCCTCAGCGTTTATGCCATGTTAGGGAAATCTGAGAAATGTTTACTGTTTATTACTTGTGCAATCAAACACTTGTTGACTGTTGTTTACAAGTTTTGGGAAACAGAGAAGGCGGGAAAAGAGTTTTACATAAAATGAGTGAAATGAACAGTGATACGATTTTTAGAAATTTCGTTCGTTCTTTCATTTTCTTTTTCTTTTTCTTTTTTCTTTCTTTCTTTCTTTCTTTCTTTCTTTCTTTCTTTCTTTCTTTCTTTGATTGACACTGCAAAATAACCTTAAGACATTACAGTCATTGGCACGAAAAAATATATTTCTTTCCTCTCTCGTTCTCTCTCTCTCTCTCTCTCTCTCTCTCACTCTATCTTTCCCTCTCTCTTTCTTTCTTTCATTGACACAGAAAAAAGTAACCTTGGAATTATAATAGTCACTAATGTGGAAAAATATGTCTCTCTCTCTCCCTCTCTCCTCCCTGTCTTTCTCTCTCTCTCTCTCACTATATATATATATATATATATATATATATATTATGTGTGTGTGTGTGTGTTTCTTTTCTCTTTCCCGTTCTCTCGCCCTCTCCTTCAATGACACGGAAAAGTAACCTTATGATATGATAGCCATTAGCGTGAAAATATGTCTTTCTTTCTCTCTTTCCTTCTCTCTCCCTCTCTCTCTCTGTGTCTCTCTCCCACACACAAACACACACACACAGTGTGTTTCTGTCTTGCTTTCTCACTCTCTCGTTCATTGATACAGAATAGCAACCTTGAGATATGATAGTTACTGGCGAAGAAAATTGATTTATCTCTCTCTCCCACTTTTTTTCACTCTCATTGGTTTTCTCTCTCTCCCTGTCTTGCTCTTTCTTTCTGCCTTTGATTCGTTGAAACAAGAATTTTTCAGCACCCCTCATATATTATCGGTTTAAGCAAGATTGGAATGCAATGTTATCCAGCGATTCT